TGCCCGCACACACACCCACAGCCCCCCCGGCGCCAGGCAGGATGAGAGGTGCTCCGACCCAGGGCACAGGGTCCCAGCCCAACCCAGAGGGTGGGGGCATTGCCAGCAAAACTCACAAATCATCACATCACATGCATAACAGAGCTCTCGCTGCATATAAATTAATCCTAAATTAAGGTGGGGAGGTGCAAAGATCTCAGGACAAGTGTATTATTTCTTTATTCACATCAGGAAGGATGGAAAAGATCTCTAGCAGAAGATCAGTGATGAAGCAGAGAGAAACCATTAGGACTATATGGATTTTTTTTTTTTTTTCTCCCAGCAAAGACTGGTGGAAAATGTTTTTGATGCTCTCAGCAGGCACTTCTGCTGCTCCCCCAGTGCCCAAATGGCACTCTGCTCCTTGCCAGGTACCAGCTCTAGCCTAGCTCAGAAACCTTCTAAGACATAAATATGCATTGTAAAAATTATATATTACACTGTCTCTGCAGAGCAGGGGAGACCTGGAAAAGGGATGAATTGTCCCATATTCACATCCCCTCCAGCACAGGCACCCCCTTCCCGGGGAAGGGACCACTAGCAGCAGTGGCAGGGCTGCCCCCCCCCAGCCAGCTGTATCCCCCTGCCCTGGTTGCCCTCCCTGGGGCCCACTCACACCCTGGCAGAAGGTCCTGTAGGGCAAGTCATCCCTGCATGGTGCCACAGAGAGCTGCTGCTGACCCTGGCACTGAGAAATCCCTGCATCTTACTGAATTTAGGGCTGCAAAAGTTACTGTTTTTTGCAAGCAGCTCTTCCAAGCTGCAGCCCATCCTTCGCAACTCAGCTGGTGAAACTCTGCTGTTAAACCAGAAGCAGAAGCTGGTTTTTTTGTGAACAAATGACATTTCCCTCTTGACTGTTCCTATTGCAATTTTTTTAACTAGAATTTACTCTTCCTGAAACATCCCCAAAGAGCTGTCATCGAGATAAATGCATTTAACATTGCTAATACCTTTCTTCTGCCTTTGAAATCGAAGACCTGCTCCTCAAAGGAACTTCAGCAGCTTGATATTTCCATCCAGCTGAAAATCAATAAGCTGAAGGCTCTTATGGAGCATACGTAAATAGATTTCTGTGTCATTAAGTTCCCAAATCAATGACAAGAATGGAATTTAGGAAAGTAAATCCCACAGGCTGTATCACAGTGGGATGTGATCGGGAAATGCATTAGAATAGCCAGGGATGGAGATTGGATGCCCAAAATGAGAGCAACCAAGGATGCTCGGCCACAGGTTCTACACAGGCAGTCCAATTTTCCCCCTCTGGAAAATGCAAAATGCACCTTTGCTATCTTTCTGCCTTGCCTAAATCTCTCATTCCCTTGCTTTCTTCTTCACTTACTATTTAACTTAGCAAAGGGACTTGGCATCTCATTTGCAGGAAAGATGCTGCACAGCAGCACATTTGTTTATTTGATCATCTGGGAACTTGGCTGAAATTGCACAGCTGATGGTGAAACTTGTTTCTCCTCTGAAAAATGGGTGGGAATTACCTAGAAATAAATGTGAAACCTCAAGAGATGTTTTTAATGGATTTACTTTTCAGAATGCAATTTCACATGCAATATATTATCTTGTTGGGTTTTGTTTTAGTAGGGAGTGAAAATTCCTACTCCACAATATTCACCTAGAAAATCACATCACTTAAAATGAAATGGTCAGTTCAAAGCAATTTTGTATTATCAAAATGATTATTTCACACATTTTCAGTAAATGGTCTGAAACGTCTCAAGCCAGTGGAAACAACCTTTCAGCTTTATTGCCACCAGAGGCTGCAGCCTCTTTTCATCTCTAATCAAAGTACCCTTTAAGAAACACACCGGTCCTGAATTTTACTTCTATTAATATTTATAATAATAATATAGTTTCCACGCAGGCCATGCAGATTATCTAGTATTCTTGAGCATCCAAAAAGCCAGCCACATGTGAACTCTGCCTATCTATCTTCTTCATTTTTGCTTGCAAAGCTGTTTGCCTGCCTGTGCAGGCAGTGCCCTCTGTAAGCAGCCCACCCTGAGCGCTGTGTCTTATCTACACAGATAGGGGCATGCAAATCTTGAAACGAATCAGGCATTTTTTATAAAAGCAGACAGAAACTTGCTTCCTATGGGCCCCCAAAAAGTAGACCCATCAGCAATAACTATTGAAAGCTATCAGAAGTGAGGTGGCAGGATCTTATCATCCTCTAGCACAGCCATTTCCCAGTATCAGCCTTTGGGAGGCTGTGCCCTCAGGGACAGAGATAAATGCTGTAGACAACACTTTACCTTCACCATGACTTAATTTTGGCCTTGTCTATCTGATGAAATAACTAGAGTTTTACAGCCCTAGCATGTAAGCACAATAAAATCATACAGACAGAGGTGAGTTTTTTCAATTAAGTTTGAGGATCAGATACTTTCCATCCTTATTTTTTCTCTAAATACATACTCTCAGGTAACCCAGCTGACTGCCCAGTTACATTCTTGGTCTTCAGAAATGCCGATGAGAAAACAACAGCACTGTCCATCCTTAACACAAGATACCCTTAGCATGCCAGAGGGAAGGCAAGAGGCAGCCAGCTTTCCCAAAGTCCAGACTTTTGCTTTTTTTAAAAATAACTTGAAAGTTCATTACAAGCAGAGGTACTCTGAACTGCCTCTGCCTCATAATAAACATCCAATAAAAAGAGAAAAAAGGAGAGGAGAAAAAAAAAAAATCACCCTTCATGCCCTCCTTTTCAGTACTAATTGCTCCTAGCAACCAAGCTGCAGGAAATGAGACAAAATCCCTCTTTTTTTTGCAAACATAGAGAAAATCCCCTTACAAGTAGAACAGTGTGATCCCCCCCCCCTCCACACGGTGGAGCACGGCAGGTACAAACCCTGCGCGCCTTCCCCTTTAGTGTAACGAAGCAGCAAAGGGTGGGATACGGCCAGAACGTGGCTGTGTCATAGGAAGTGCCCTAAGAGATTTTTAATTTATAAGAAACAATTTATTCTGTGGCTAGTTGGCAGTTCAAGCTTTACCCTTTCTGTTAATGACAGGAGCTTCTGGATCAGCCCATGCTCTTCACAGCTTTACTCTGAAAGGCTCTATCTGGCCAAGCTGAGACATACACCACTTAGTGCTCTAGCTATGTGCGATTTGTATTTCGTGTAAACTCGGTGCCTAAACACAGCCAAAACTCTTTTGTTCTGGTCTGAATTTATTCGTATTCCCAGATTTGCAGCAGCTCCCCTAACTATGAGACCTTGCTCGACAGTGAGATCCCCCAGACCGGCCTCTGCCACCGCAGAGGTCTCCAAGCAGCAGCTGTGGGTGCAGTATAGGACAGGAGCGCACTGAAGGACGCTCTCCCCCGGCTCGCAGCACAGCGGCCGCTCGGCGCCAAGCTCGGCTCTCCCGAGCCGCCTTCCCGTCTCACGCCTGTGATGAGGTCGCGCCCGGGCTCAGCCCTCTGGGCGCG